AGGAAGAGCTCGCCAGGACTCAGGGACAGAGCCTGAGCGCCACCAGAAGGAGCCTTGTAGGCAAGGACTGTCCCACCCGCCTGCCGCACCCGTGCCCAGCAGCCCCCTCCTCGTTGCCTGCCCATGGCCTCAGCAGGCCAGCCCCACATGAACCAGGCACCCCGGATGGAGGGCCCGGCCGGCCGGCCAGCACTACAGCTGGCTCAAGAGCCAGTGTCCCTCAGCCTGGGTGCCCGGCGCCACGAGTCCTGCCAGCATCCTCCACCAGTGTCTGGCCCTGGCTCTGCGCCGAGCCCTGGCATGCCCTGAATGGAATGGCAGGCTAAAGGCTGCCCTTGACTCGAGCCACCTCCTTTGAGGAATCTACCCGCCGCTGGGATGTGCCCTAGACAGTCAGTTCCCCAAAGAGTGACTCCTTTCTCCCCTCTAAGAGGGAGTCTGACGGTGGTGGTGGGAGGACACCACGGGGGGTACTGCCAAACCAGGTGGTCACCCACAGCTGGGCCCTGTGTCCAAGGACTGCCCTGGAGGAGATGGCGGCCCCAGACACCTGTGGAGATGGTGGGTGAGAGAACCCTTCCTGTCACCATCCCAGGGTCTCCTGAGACCATCATGCCCAGGAGAGGGTGGGCACACTGAGCCTGGCAGGCAGCCCCAGCTGCCCCATTCCCCCCTCTCCACCGCTCAGAAGGCACTGATGACAGACTAGGGGTAAGCTGGCCGGTGACACCAGAATGCAGGAGGGAGGCTCAGCATCTGGCCCCTCCCTGGCCGTCAGCAGTGCAGTGTCCACTCAGCCCCAGCTTTGGTCATTGCCTTCTGTTTGCTGGCCCATTTTCCCTTTTATATCCCCAGCCCAGCCTCCTCTGGCTCCAGCCTTCTGGGACCCCCCACCCCAAGCACCCCGGCCATCTATTGGCCTGTCTGCACGCTCTCCCACCTCTGTCCCCAGCACAGGAGGAGGCGAGGACAACCTGTGAGCTCCGGGCTGGGACAGGGCATCCAGCAGTGACCTCCTAGTCCTACCTAGGCAGCCGGTCATCTCAGCAGGTCCCGTGAGCCGTGAGCAGGGCCCACGCTGGCCACCCACCTTGGGAATCACACTCAGAGCCCAGCCGACCCAGTCCGGCCTCCTTCAGTAGAAATAGAAATGCCTGGATGTTGTTTAAGTGTGTGTAGCTGCCCGGGGCAAACCAGCAAAAAGCAAAGGCAGTCCGGGAGGGGCAGGAAAGGAGGAGGGGATGGGAACAGGGACAGGGAGGAAGCCGGAAAGGGGGCCCTTACACGAAGGGGTAGAAATTGTTGAATGGAAAACCAATGTGCTCTGTACATTTGCTCCCAATTCACAACAAAATGTTTTTTTAAAAAGTAAAAAGATACAAGCGCAGTGAGTGTCGAGAAGATACTTCGCTTCCCCCAAACACGCCTAAAATGCTAGGTTTCAACATGTAGACCGCCGGCGTCTGCACGTTTGTACCCAGAGGTCTTTGAAGCCTGGCATGCGGTGTGGGGCGGCTACGGCGGAGGCACAGCAGCTGGGCAGTGGTGAGAGGCCTGAGAGTGTGGCCTGGGCCGAAGCTGGGGACAGACAGGACAGGAGGTTGAGGGCCCGCTGCAAGGGGTTCCCCGGATCTGAGCAGCACACTGCCACAGTGTGAGTGGGGCCAGGAAGGGTGACAGGAGACACCTCACCCCCATCCGGGGGTTGTCCTTTCTCTCCAGTCTGGCCCCAGAGCCCCTGCAGTGCAGGGAGCTCCCTGAGGCAGGAGCAGGGCCCCTCCTTTCACCGAGCCTGTGTCTCAAGGGGAACAGGGGTCCCCATATCTGTATCCGAGACTCGAGTGGGGCCCCTTGCTATCCAGTTTCCTTTGTCCTCTGAGTGGAGCAGGCATCTCCCTCCCCCTCGGCTAGGGTGGGGAGCTTGGGGCCCCCAGGTCTCACCCTTCCCTATTCAGACCCCCCTACACTGACCCCTCCTGAATTTGAGTAGCACTTCGTTTTTCTCTGGAGGAAGAATTCACACAGGGGGAAGAGAGGCTGAGGGAGCACCCAGCCGGGCCAAGGCCTCAGGGACAGGTCTGGTCAGGAAGCGGGACAGAAGGGATGTCCCAAGTCCCTGAGCGCCACATAGTGGCTGGCTATTGGACAACCAGCTTTTAAGAGAGAATTACCCCACCTGGCTGGGGATCCTGGCCAAGCCCTCAAAGGCCTTACTGGGTCTCTTGAGAATTCAACAGCGGAGTGCCACGTTGGGTGGGGACGGTAACTTCCGGAGGACATTCAGGACGACATCGTCCAACCCCAGCCAAGGTTGGCCGAGCACAGACCCAGCCCTGGGAGGGGGTCCACTCTGGGCCTCCCCACCAGGTGTGTGCCTCAGCGGGGAGGATGTCCAGACGCCCTCTCGCCGTGTGAGGCGCCCTACTCTGCCATCCCCAGGGTGGCTGTCCCCTGCCTGTTCAGTCCACTGAACCCCGCCCGCGTTCCTCCTTCCCACCCAAAGGAACTTCAGGGCCACCCACAAGAAGAGGCCCCGTGAAACCAAACCCGTTGGATCCTATCGAGGTGGCCACCTCTGGGGTTTCCGAGACTTAGCCCAGGCCATTTTCTCTTCCCCGTGGGGCAGCTGGGGAATGTGAACCCCTGACCTAGTGGCTAGCAGCTCAAAGTGCTCAGCCCCCGCCCGCCCCCCCGCCCCCCTGAGCCACTAGGGCTCCTGAGGGTGAGGAGGGCAGCGCAAGCCTGTCTCCAAGTACACAACCTTGGGGAACAGAAGGAAAACAAGCAGCCGGAACACTTTGACAGTATCCAAGTGAAAGACGCCAGTCCACGCGGTGTGGGGAGCTGCTGGCAGGACTGGGGGGAGGGGGGAAGGGGAGGCAGAATGTGGAATTAAGTAGCATGTCCTGACGACTTTGGGACCCTCTCATGCGACCCCCGGGACCCTTCTTAAGTCTGGCTCTTGATTACCTGACGTTGGCTGAGGTTCCGAGTTCTGAGCCCGGGGGGGCGGTGGGGGGGGCGCGGGGGGGGGCAGGGCGGGGGGGACCCCTCAGCAGTCCAGGTGTCAGGAGGGAAGCAGCCAATCCCTCTGCTCTCCTCCTCCTCCAGCCAGCTCAGCACTGCGCGGCCTCCTTCACTCAGCCCCTCCTGCTACAGGAGCACAGACAGCCCCGTGTTTGGGCCCACTGAGGCAGCCAGGGCCACCCGCTGGCCAGGACGGTGGCCTCCTGAGAAGGGCTCCCTGCCCAGCAGGATGAGGAGCAGCCAAGCCTGTGGGCACCAGCCTTGACCAGTGGGCGGGTGCCCGGGCGAGGGTGTGTGTTGTGGTGGTCTGTGTGTGGGAAGAGACCCCATCCTGGCTCCATTCTGCACGAGAGCCGGGCCCCATGTAAGGCGCCGGTTCTCCGGGTTTTTCCGCCTCCACCAGGGCTGGTCCTTAAGCTCCCTCGGGTCCCCCACCCACCCCCCCATACTGCCCACGACCCCTTGTGTCTCTCAGTGTCAAGTGCTCTGGCCCAGAACTGGGTCTCACGGCTCCTCTGGTCCCCACTGGGGAAATGGAGGCTCGGGGCTCAGTCCACGCCCGATGGGGGTAGGACAGTCCTGGCACAGGCCTGGATTCTTTGAGGACCCGGGGTTGGGGTGCACAACGGGCCTGAGGCGCTGAGGCCAGGCCCTAGCCTTGCCTGCCTGAAGGCCGCCTCCCGCTCCTTCCTCCCTTCCTCTCTCCCTCCCCCGCCTTCCCTCTCTACCCTCCTGGCGAGCGGACTGCAATCCAAACTTGTTGTTCCTCTCCCTGCTCCTGCGTTGTCAGCGAGCCCTCCAAGTTAAATATTACTCATGGGGAGGGGAGCCACTGGGCAGCACAGCCGGCTGACCCAGCCCCTGGAAGGACGGCAGTGGACTTGGACGGCCCTCCCTGCTCGGGCCCAGGGCAGCTGGTGGACTTGGGACGGGTGGTGGGGAGCCTTCTGGGCACCCGTGCCCCTAGCCTCCTGCCGCCCTTTGCCATACCAGCGAGCCTGTTTATTTGACCCCACAAAGCGACAGGGCAGGCAGGGTCACAGGCAGCGGGTCCCCGGGCAGGGACAGGGAGGGGTGCGAGGGGCCTGGGCCAGGACAGCAGAGGGCCCTCCCCTTGGCTGGCCACCTCGTCTTGGTGCCAGGCTGGGGGCGGGACTGGGAACAAAATGTTCAGAAAAATAGCCTCGTCCCTTTCCAATCGATTCCTCGTCCCTAGCCCTGCGTTCCCCTCTGAGGGAGGCCGGTCAGCAAAGGGCCATGACTTAGGAGACGTCCGGGTCTCAGAGCAGTGCCCACCCTAGCCCAGGCCTCTGGAGGGGGCAAAGGCCTGCTCCAGAGCCCCCATCCCCACCCTAGCACACACCTCTGCCCCCAGGCCTGCTGAGACGCAAGCATGCACTGCCCCCAGGGCCTTTGCACTGACTGTTCCCCCCACCCCC